GTCCATGCTGGTGCTCTTTTTCGATTATCGGCCTGCATGGTTACCTGTGCTGATGAGCTCTCTGTGGTCACCTGTGCTCTCCACGCTGGGCAAACAGGAAACAAAATTCAAATGTTTGCGGGGCTTTTCCTGTCTACCTGGCCAGTGCATCCAAGTTCAGATTGCTGTCCAGAGCGGTCACAATGGTGCACTGTGGGATAGCTCCCAGAGGCCAATACCATAGAATTGCGGCCACACTAACCCTAATTTGAAATGACAATATCGATTTTGGCACTACTCCGCTCGTCGGGGTGGAGTATAGAAATCGATTTTAAGAGCCCTTTATTTCGAAATAAATGGCTTCGTTGTGTGGACGGGTGCAGGGTTAATTCGATTTAACGCTGCTAAATCCGAATTAAAGTCATAGTGTAGACCAGGCCTAGGAGTAGAGAGATTACTTTACCTCTCTGTCTGGCACTGGTGCAAGCACTGCTGTAATACCATGTCCAGTTCTGGTGTCCACAGTTCAAGAAGGATGTTGATAAATTGGAGAGGTTTCACAGAACATGGGTTTACCAAAGATGCATCATGCCAGGCTTACCTGATTTTCTTCATTGAGAAAATAATTCATTTTTTTAGATAAGGGAAATACAGTAGATCTAATATACTTGGACTTCAGTGAATTATTAGAAACTTTACTGTGCGGAAAATTATTAGTTAAATTAAAGAAGATGGGGATTAGTAGAAGAATTGTAAGGTGGATAAAGAACTAGCTAAAGGGGGAAAGTGGAAAAATTCATATCCCAAGAGATGATGCATATCGAGCCAAAGACTCTAGGTGTAATAAATGCACAAAGTATGGACATTTTGTGTCTGTTTGTCTCACCAAAGCAGTTAGGGAGTTGACTCATATTACAGGCAATCAAGAGCCACTGTTTCTGGGATCTATCAGGTGTGATGACACAGAACCTGCTTGGAGAGTGAAACTTGACTATTCATGGAAAGACTATTGACTTTAAAAGTGATTCAGGAGTAGACCTCACAGTCGACTGAGACAGGATTTATAATAACCTTCAACCCCTTCCAGAGCTGAAGTCACCTGACACAACTCTGCCTAGCCCTGGAAGTAGGGTGACCAGAGAGCAAGTGTGAAAAATCAGGACAGGGGGTGCGGAGTAATTGGCACCTATATAAGAAAAAGCCCCAAATATCAGGACTGTCCCTATAAAATCGGGACATATGGTCACCCTACCTGGAAGTATTCTGAGCTGCATGGGTCAGTTCACTATGAAAATAACTTACAAAGACAAAAGCTATGCGTTCCGATACATATTATCAAAGATCAACAATTTGCTTAGATGCAGCATGGTAGCCATGATGGGCCTAATGAGAAATGTGGAAGAATTCGATGGAGTATTTGAGGATATTGGACTTTGGAAAGGAGATCCAGTACAAATCAACTTGAGAAAATACTGAACGATACAATGTACAACTACCTGAAAGGGGGTTCCAAAGAGGATGGATCTAGACTGTTCTCAGTGGTACCAGATGACAGAACAAGGAGTAATGGTCTCAAGTTGCAGTGGGGGAGGTTTAGGTTGGATATTAGGAAAAACTTTTTCACTCAGAGGGTGGTGAAGCACTGGGATGGGTTACCTAGGGAGGTGGTGGAATCTCCTTCCTTAGAGATTTTTAAGGTCAGGCTTGACAAAGCCCTGGCTGGGATGATTTAGTTGGGGATTGGTCCTGCTTTGAGCAGGGGGGGTTAGATTAGATGACCTTCTGAGGTCCCGTCCAACCCTGATATTCTATGATTCTATGATACAAATACCTCTAACAAACAGACCTTGGAAGATACTAGCTGAAGATTTATGCAGATTCAAAGGACATCATTACCTGATCGTTGTGGACTATTTTTCCAAGTATATAGAAATAATGTACTTGAAAGACATAACATGTTACAGTGTTATAGAGAAACTGAAGTGCATTTTTGCTTACTTAGGTATTCCATATTAACTAGTGATAGACAACAGACCACAATTCACTGCAATGGAATTTAAATCTTTCTGAACCAAATATGATTTTGATCATATTACTAGCAGCCTACATTACCTACATGTGTGTGGAGAGGCTGAGAGAGCTGTACAGACAGCCAAGAAAATCCTGCAGCAGGAAGAGCCATTCCTTGCTCTTGTGAGTTATAGATCAATACCAATAACAGCTACTGGATCTGGTTATTGATAAAATGTATAGTCAATTGCTTGACCGTACTTTGTTTCATCATGAAATAGTCTCAGGAGACCAAAATAACCAATGTCAGACAAATCTATTGTTATGAGCTTATAATAATATAGTACAGGAAAAAAGCTCTATACAATACCAGTCTCCAGGAAACCATCTCATGTAGTGTTGTTACATTCACCTTAAGCAAAAGGTGTGCTCCGAAAGTTACACATTTCAGCTGATTGTATTTGTATGATAATTTTACAAATTACATATTTTTTTACATGTCATGAAAATTCAACTAATCAATTTGTTCTAGTTCCTTAACATGTCCTGTTCCTGTCCTTATCTTTGTTTTGGATATTAGCACTCCAGGTACTGGTCCATGAAGGTATTTTCTAGGTTTGTACCAGGGTAGAACAACCATTATGTCTTGTCCTCTTCCTTTGGGATATTCCAGTACTGGCCTGAGAGACTAACTCCCTACCTTTTGCTATGGTAAAATACCTCATATGTCCTGATCTTGACAGCTTTCCTATCTACTTACGCCAAAGCTTATTTCAGCTAATGCAAGGTGTTATGGGCTATTTAGCATGAGTGAATAGGGTTATAGTAAAGGTATAGGCCAATTTAGTATAGAACTGCTATAATATTTGTGCTTAAAGCTGTTTGTGCTTAATACATACAAGCAGTGGTGTAGCCAGGTGGAAGAAACAGGGGGAGCGGAAAAAAAAAGGTGCCACCCGCAGCGGCGCTTTTACTGATGGGGCAGTGCTCTGGGTCTTCGGCGGGACCTTCACTCGCTCCACAGGTCTTCAGAAGCATTTTGGTGATGAAGCTTCAGTGCCGCCGAAGACACTCGGAGCTAGTGAAGTGCCCATCGCCGAAGACCCGGAGCGCCGCCCTGTCAATAAAAGCGCCGCAGCGGGTGGTGCCTTTTTTTTCCCCCCGCTCCCGGGTGAGTAAAATTAAAAAGGCGCCATTTGTGCTCAGTGTGGGAGTGGCTGCTGCCCCGCTCCCCCCTAGCTACGCTACAGCATACATGGTCTGGATAATACATATTAATATGAGCTAGATAGATATAAATATTGATTGTTATATAGAGAGATAGATATATGCTAACCGGCATATATTGGTCAACATAGACTAGCACAGCTCCTGAAGGTAAGACAGTTCAGAAGTACAAAAGAATTATTTGCAAAAGAATCTATCACCAAAGTGGACAGATATGAAGAAAGTAGCCATATTGGATGAAAAGGCAAAAAGAGCTTACGAACGCTTTTACAACAGCTGACACTCGGTTAGAAAATTGCAGTGTCTAGAACCTGGTGACTCCATTTGTATCAAATTGGATGAAGAAAAAGTTTGGCCACTTCCAGCTGCATGGGCAGCACGAATAAGAGGCTGGAAGGTTTAGCCTCCCCAAAAAAGGCTGGCCATGCAAGGAGCAAGAAATCCCAGATGTAGCACAGGTCACCTCCCTTTGGAGGCATGCCATCCCGCTGCCTTTGGAGCACTGCCACCGGAAGCACCCTAGAAGTAGGAGGGGCACCAGTTCCTGGACTGTGTCCCTGCCTATGCTCCACCCCTGCTCCTCCCCGAGGCCCTGCTGCTGCTCAGTCTCTTCCCGTGAAGCCTCGCCCCCCACACCGCCTCTTCCCCCTAAAGCCCCCTCCTTCGTTCTGCCTCTTCCCCCGAGACTCTCCCACCTGCCACTTGTTCCTCTCCACCCCCTTTCCCCGTTTTAAAAGTGATGGGCTATGTCCTCCCACTTTTTTCCTGCCTTAAGGGCGAACGATGGGGGGACGGGGAAGGGATGCAGAGGAGTGAGCGGTGGGCGGGGGACCTTGGAGGAAGAGGTGGAGTGGGGGGTGGGAAGAGGTGGAGCGAGGACAGGGCCTCAGGGGAACAGGCAGGGTGGTAAGAGGTGGCATGGGGGAAGGCCTTGGGGGAACAGGCCGAACAGGGGCAGGGTCTGGGGGCAGAGGGAGCTGCCATCGCTCACATAAGCCTCCCCAAATGAAAGAGTCACACACCACCTATGTCCAGCTGTCATAAAGAAAAAGAATTCAGCACCTAGGCCATATGTGATCGAGACCAACATTGGAAAGTTCAATAGAAACCATCAACATCTACAGTTTGCTCTTCAGAAAATACAGTCAACAGAGCAAACTCTACTGATGGGATGCAGAGCAAGAAGATGATGACTCAAGACTTCCAAACCACCAACAACTAGATGACAAAGTTGTTATGTGTTTGGGTTGTGTAGTTAGAAAACCAGTATGATTCATAGACATGTTACAGACTGAACTTCAAAGACAGCGTGATAGTGTAAATTTTGTAAATGATAAGAGAAGTTAAAGGAGGTGATGAAACGGACTGCTAAACTGTATTCTACTATTCCACCAATAGGTGGTGCTATGTGTAACATTTTATTTAAGTGACCCTTAGTCATACTTGGCAAAACATTAAGGGATCTTATAGTGAACACATCTGGTGTGTATCCCTCTGGGAGGAAGCTCTTTTCTCAGTCCATAACTGATCCAGCAGCCTGACCTGCTAATAGAAGCCCTGCAACCTACCATGTACAAGAAACACATAAGTAGTGAAGTCAGTAAGGTCACTTTTATGAGTAATATATGCTAGATCAGATCCTAATCTTTTGAAGTATTTTGGTAGACAGTTTTTATGAAAGCTACTATACAAACTAAAGATGCATTCATTACATTGCACTGTATTGAGTTTGTATGTCATTGCATTGTATTGCATTGAATTTTGTCTGTCTTATTTATTTTAAGGTGTCTGATGGAGGATTCTGGTGATGTGGCCTTTGTCAAGCATTCAACAGTTTTTGAGAACACCGATGGTATTTAGTTTTAAATACGTTTTTATTACAACTCATTATTTTTGGAGTCCTCTTTACTCTGAAGCATTCAGTGAGTCACAATGGCGAGTTTCCTTTTTCAGGTAACAATGCTGATTCCTGGGCTCTTCACCTGCAGTCCAGCGACTTCCAGTTACTGTGTCCAAATGGAGCCCGTGCTGAAATCACTCAGTTTGCTCAGTGTCACTTGGCTCAGGTGCCTGCCCAGGTTGTCATGGTCCACCCAGACACCAACATTTTTGCTGTATATGGACTACTGGACAAAGCTCAGGTATAATTTACAATTAGTTCACCTGATGAGGTGGCCATTCTCAGATTATTATGAGCAGGGGTATCCAAACTTGGTCCAATCACAGGCTGCAATGGCAAATTTCCAAAAGCCTAAGGAATGCTCCTAATTTCATCATTTAAAAATATAAAATAAAATGCACACAACCATAATACTTGTTTATCCTGAAGTCTTCCTAAATTCATAATAGAAATGCAACAGCTACATGAGAAAAGAGCATGTATGATAAATTATTGTAATTATATAGACGACTTTTGAAAGCATTATGCCTTCCAGGACTTAGTAGCAGACGCTCCAAAAAAAACCCCTCAAACTATTCAGTTTATTATAGGTGGTGCAGGTACTGACACCTAAACTTAAGGTTGCCCGACACTTTCCATTATAAGACTCTGTTTTCAGTTGCTTATAACTTTACTAAACTTAAACAACTGGGACTAAAATTTTCCATGCTGGGTGTCTGCTTCAAGATGAATGTTTTGAGAAAGTTTCAGCTAAAATGGTTCAACTGTTTCTGAGCACGAGATTAGAGGAAAATACGTTGTTTTGCTCATGTTAATAAAACACCATGTTGTTGACCGCTAATGACTCCATGCTTTGGAGCAGGGACTTGAAATTTGGCAGGGGGTCACCCTATTGTCAAGGATGTGCCTTTTGCAAGCCCCTTGGAAATCTGTCCAACTATAGCTGAGTTAGACGCTTATGAAAATTTCAGTGTGCACGTACTCTGTAATGATCTGTTTGGCAGCTAAATTCTCTGAAGATTCTGTCTCCACTGAGCATGTGCCATCCCAGGGATGCAGTAGCTGAGCAGGGCTTTCCCTGATACTGGCTACCGAGGGCTGCTGTGATGCCCCACACAGGAACTAAGAATATAGAGACTGTCTTTCCTGGACTCTCCATGCTCCCCCTGTTAGCACCCTGGAAGCACAGAGGAGGAAGAAGGTTGATTTGAATTCATCATTTTTAACAATGTTGCCTTCTCCAATACTAAGATACTAGTAATGGTCCTATAATATTGTTAGGATTTCTTTTGTTCTAATATTCTTTAAAAACTCCTTGTTTTCATTGTCACTGCCCGCTATGGGTTTTTTCTGATGTTTTTAGCTTTCTTTAACAAATTTATACACTTCATAACTTCAAATTTTCTATTTATATACCTTTTCCCCATTTGTTTAATTTTATTTTATTTTATTTTTAATTGCTGCCTTCACTTTGACACTGAACCAGGGAGCAGAATTTGGCCCTTATGTATTACATTTTAAATACATGGATGGATGTGACAGCCAACTACAGTGGGAGTTCCAGACAGAAAAAAGGTTCAAGTTATGCCATAATGATCACAGAAAATATCTTGCTAATTGGCTTCAATATTGGGAGTCTTAGGAGACTGGCCAAGGACTGAATGGGCTTGACACTAAAGAAGCTTTTCACCCTTAACTGGAATATTCTATTGGGCTCCTTTAACTAACACAAAAGGTTACTCCAAATTGATTTTTAAAACTTATGATAATATAAAAGGCAAATAATTTGAAGTTAAAATTGTTTGTCTGTGAGCTTCTGAGCAATGGGGAGGGTTAGTTTCCACTGTGTTATGTACGCTGCTAAAGATGAATATAGCACTGGCTATGTAATACAAACTCTGATACTAATGGAAACTGCATTGCTTTCAGGATTTCTTTGGAAATGACAGCAATGGAAATGGATTCAAAATGTTTGATTCCTCAGATTTCCTAGGAACAGATTTGATCTTTAAAGATTCCACCGTTAAGATTGTACCAGTAGGAGAGAAAACAACCTATGCAGAATGGCTGGGAAGTGAATACATAGATTCTCTTAAAGGGATGCAATCACCACAGTGCTCTGGGGCAGGTGAGCCAGCATTTTTTGATGTATGTGAGATTGATTTTTTCTATCTCTTCCTCTTTCGTATTAATTGTAAGATGCTGTCTGATCCTTATGGACTGGACAATTCCCAGGTTCCATGACATGGCCACTGGGTTTCTGTGCTGTGGAGGAGGGACAGTTTTTGGACCTTGGGAGACAGAGCAGTGTTGGGACTTCTGGATAGTGAATCAAATCTGTCCATCTTGATGGAATGCTCCTATTTCCATTGGCTCTGTTCCGGCTTCTCCCCTTCCTCACCTCATGTGGTTCCCAACTTCTGTCTGAAGTCAGCAAACAGCAGGGGATGAGTGTATGCTGGGAGCGCAGGCTGAGGACAGAGGATAAACTGTGGAATCCAGAGTAGCTTCTTGCATCATGCAGATGCTGGTGGCTGGGAAAGGTATCCAGCGAGGCTCTTCACCAACTGGAAGGAAGCAAGGGATCCCAGCATTCACTGGGGACTGAGGAAAACTAGGGAGATTGCAGGGGTTATGTTTTGCAGCTGGGAAGGAGAGTTCAGGAGCAGATGAGTTAAGTACATGTGTTCACTGAATTTGTTTATATTTGAGTAATCAGCATATATTTGCACCTCAATGTCACCGATCTCTGCTTAGGAAAAGATGTCATTTTGCTCTGTGATATTTAAATTGGTGCGGGAATGATTTGGGTGATCATTTGGGAATGATCTGGCTCTAGAACCTTTCTGCATGGTGTGGTTAATGCCTCTGAGGAGCTAAAAACTGTATTTGGAGCCGATTAAATTGATTAGCTTGCTCCTGTATAACTATTTCACAATCAGCTAGCAGTCAGATCAGCTTCTAACCCTTAGTGCTCAATTTGTATTTTTATTTGTAGCTGCAATATCCATGAACATCATTGTGCTGCCGGCGGCTAGTGTCCTTCTGATTAGATTCTACTCGTGATCATTAGGCCGTTCCTTGGATTAACAGATATTCAGCATAATAAACTGAAATACTGGTAAATAATAATATAAATAAACTGAAATAAAACTTAGAAAATGAATGAGAGACGCATGTGGAGAGCAGCAGAATTATCCAGGCTATTCCCTGATGCTCTATATATCCATAAAGGTAATGGGAGATCTGGGAGGGTGGGAAATGGATGCAGTTTACAGCCTCGTCCTTGCCGCCTTCCCTTTGCTTCCCTGCCTCTCTTACCCTGTTTTACGGATGCTGTTCCTAGCCATGGCACGTCAATGCCAAAGGAAATAGGCTCCAAATACAGTCCTGCTGTTGCATGTCCCAAAAATAAACTCTGAAGTGTCTGATACTCACAACTATGGATAATTTTTGGTCACTTTTTTTTTTAAAAAGGTGCCCTCGGAACTTAATCCAAACTTTTTCAAGTTGTACAGTCAACATTTCCAGTGTCCTTTTCCCCTCGGGGTCTTAAATCCAATCACCCCAAAGTCCAACAACCCAAAAGTCTCTGTCCCTGGTCAGTACCGCCCCAGAGTATGGGGGGGCACACAGGGTGTTAAGGGGCACCCTTATGTGGTCCGAGGCCGACTGCTCCACCTCTCCGTGGAGTTCTGCTGCAGCCTTCACCACCAACATTCACTGTACCCTCCGCTCTGCTCCTCCAGCCATCCCATGAGCCGCTCCAGCCGTTCCCGCAAACTGCTCTGCTCCACTCACTGTTCCGTGGGCCACTCCAACTGCCCCCAAAACTGCTCCGCTCTGCCAGCCACTCCACTCCACCAGCCATCCTATGAACCGCTCCAGCTGTCCCCATAAATGGCTCTGCTCACTGTTCTGTGGGCCACTCCAACCATCCCACAAACTGCTCCACTCTCCCAGCCACTTAGCAATAGATCTTCAGGCTCCCCCACTAGTTAACACAGCACTCAGTGATCTCAGCTCAGTAATTTTAACTCTTTTAGTGATTTCAGCTTGTAGTAGGGGAGCCCCAGTGCTGGTGCACCATTGGCTCAAAGTGAATTCAGCTCAGCAGCCTCTAGCTAGACTCCTAATAGAATCAAAATTAGCTCTGCTATTCAACAGTGGAGAGAGGAGATAGTGCAATTGGTGTTCCAGACCCACAAAAGGCACCCATACCATCAGATACACATCCCAATCTCTCTCAATTCACTGGGTTTTGGAACCCATGTCCCTTGTCTAGCGAGTGCTACTTAGGTGATGGTGAGATCCTCTGTCATAAAACAATTTCATTGCCCTTGATTCACATAACCAGGGTAACAACACTTTATTCCTCCTGCCCCAATAACAGAAAAACTGGGGATCCCACAGCTGCCAAAGTGACCATTTTGGGCTGCCGTGGGCTCACGCTAGGCGGGGTGGGTGTGCCTATGCAAACAAGATCAGCCCCTGAAGTTCTTTTCCACACTCGCCATAATTCACCACCAGATGTCAGGGTAGAGCTCATCCTGACTCTGCTTACATTGCTTTCCTCCCACTTTCAAATGACCTGAGTCATGATTTTTGTTCCTTAAGCCATGAAGAGTTCCTTGCAACTCTTCCATAGCCAAAGTGTCCCTCCAGGCCACAAAATGCTGAATTGGTACCTTATAGTGCTCCCAAGTCCTGATTGAAGAGATTAGGAGTCAGACTCTGAGTCCCAGCATAGTACTGTCACTCATGCACTGGGCTCACTCAAAACTAAAACTTTTGAGTGTTTTTTTTACACACACTTTTTTTCTCAATACAACTTTTTTAGTGACATGGAGCTTGACACACAAACACCTATATAAAATCCCCTTAAAAGAGTATATCTGGAACATTAATGGGCAGCTCATTGTCAAGCTGAGTCACCGTGGGACACATACAGCTGGTAAGATTATAATAAGAACGACCATACTGGGTAAGACCAATGGTCCATGTAACAAAGTATCCTGTCCTCTAACAGTGACCAATGCCAGATGCTTCAGAGGGAATGACCAGAACAGGGGAAGTATCAAGTGATCCATCCCCTGTTGTCCACGCCTAGCATCTGTAAGTCCGAGGTGTAGGAACACAGGGTTGCATCCCTAACCATCATGGCAAATAGCCATTGATGGACCTATCCTCTATAAACTTATCTAATTCTTTTTTGAAGCCTGTTATTGTCTTGGTCTTCACAACATCCCCTGACAACAAGTTACACAGATTGACTGTGTGTTGTGTGAAGAAGTGCTTCCTTTTGTTTGTTTTAAACCTGCTGCATATTAATTTCATTGGGAGAGCTCCTGCTTCTTGTGGTCTGCATGTCTTTCTGTACAAGAAATCTGTAGTATAAACAGACAACTGCAATATGTATGTGCATTTGTGTAATTAATATTTAGTTGCCAGGTCAGTGTGCCTGCTTCTTAAGGGATCCCCTATTTTAACACTAATAAAGAATGTTTTTAAAAACACATCAGCGGGGAGAATTCTCTAACAATGCCTCCATCATTTTGCATTGATGGTGTTTGTAAGGGACATGAATATTGGCTTTAAATGTTTTGCTGTTTCCCCTTTGAGTGTGTATAATCCTTTTAAGATCTCAGGGTACTTCTGAAGGTTCTGACTCCCTTTTCTAAGGCCATTCTCCCCCGGCTTCCCCAAGTCACACCTAATACTATTGGTTTTGCTGCCTATGTCCTTCCCGATGTAAGCCTCATGTCTGAAGCCCTAGAGAGTGGGGACAGTTGGTGAATAAGGAGAAAAGTGGCCCAGAGATGCTTGAGAACACAAAATGAATAGGCCAGCCTCATTCGCATTTCAGTTATGTGACAAGTTGGGGCATTTTAGTTAAAATACAGTTAAGTTTTGTGTGTTGGGAAATAAAATACTATTATTCATGTTGGAAAATGGAAGGACTGCACCAAATATGCCTGGGGCAAGCGGTCACCCTGACTAGACCATAGTCAGGCACCCATAGGGAAGGGAGCCTGGATAGACCTAATAGAAAAGATAGATTTCTTCTTCCATAGGGAGTTTCTCTCTGATGATGAGGACTCTGTTAAGGGTTCTATATACTACTGATCCTTTTCTGAAGACTCAGCACAGAGGTAGTCTCAAGAGAGCAGATGGCTTCAAGACAACAACCAGAGCTGAAGCAGATGGTGGTGCTGAGGTACCTTGGACTGAAGCTGTAAAGAGCAGAGACTCTGGTGCAGGTCTTCATACCCAGCAATGAAAACTGAAATAACTTCAGCTGGGTTGGGTGGTAGAGACTCCTGAAGAACACTAGCCAGCTCTTCCCTTTGGGGCTAGAGAATGACCTGCCAGAATTCTTGGACTCCAGCAACCTTGGCCAACAAACTGTGAGTTGGGAAGTTGGGGATGAGGGAAGTGACTAAAATGCTTTAAGAA